ATTCCGGGCCCACTGCAGGGAGCCCGCGGCGCCGTCCATCCCGCAGAACAGCGGGAAGCACGGCAGCCCCGCGGAGCCGTCGGGAGCCACCACGGCCAACACGCCGGGACAAGGACGGGCGTCCCCGGAGGCTCCCGGAGAGCTCCCGGAGGGATCCGGCGGTGCCGGCGCGGCGCCGTCCCCCTTGGGGACGCACAGGCCGTGCTGCAGCTCGCCGTGGCGCCGCAGCGAGCGCTGGTCGCAGTAGCTCTTGCCGCAGCCCTGCTCCGGGCACGCGAAGGGCTTCGTCTTCTGGTGCGTCAGCATGTGCCCGCTCCTGCCGCAAGACACCGGGAGCGTTACCAGCGGAATTCCGAACCCCACGGCGGTTCCAGCGCCAATCTATATGTTTTTAAGCGCCTACGTACAGGTGGTCCTGGCGCTTGAAGGCCTTGCTGCAGACGCCGCAGACGTGCTTGCGCTCCTGGCTGTGGCTCAGGTAGTGCTTGCTCAGGGAGCTGGCGCTTCCGAACGCCTTCCCGCAGAGGCTGCAGTCCAGGAAGGAGCCGTGCGGGGAGCCGGGAGGCTGCTTCCCTCTGCGGGCAGCTCCGGAGCCGCATCCGCCCCCGGCATCGGCCTCCTTGGAGTCCACGATGGGGGGAAACCCCAGCTCTAAACACAGGGAGAAACAACCTCCTTAGGATATACACCAAGGGAGAAACAGCATCCTTAGGATATGCCCAAGGGAGGAACAACATCCTTAGGATATGCCCAAGGGAGGAACAACATCCTTAGGATATGCCCCAGGGAGGAACAACCTCCTTAGGATATGCCCCAGAGAGGAACAACATCCTTAGGATATGCCCCAAGGGAGGAACAACCTCCTTAGGATATGCCCCAGGGAGGGACAACCTCCTTAGGATATGCCCCAGGGAGGAACAACCTCCTTAGGATATGCCCCAGGGAGGAACAACCTCCTTAGGATATGCCCCAAGGAGGAACAACCTCCTTAGGATATGCCCCAGGGAGGAACAACAGCCTTAGGATATGCCACAAGGAGGAACAACATCCTTAGGATATGCCCCAGGGAGGAACAACAGCCTTAGGATATGCCCCAAGGGAGGAACAACCCCCTTAGGATATGCCCCAGGGAGGAACAACCTCCTTAGGATATGCCCCAAGGGAGGAACAACCTCCTTAGGATATGCCCCAAGGGAG